CAATATTTGTATGATTAATTAAAAGAGATGAAAGTAAAGCTATAGCAACTATAAGGCATAATAGTAAAAATATTAGTGGAATATAATATTGAAGTTTGAAGGTTTTCTAAAAAATTTCAAGAACGTGATTGAATTTATATTTGATAATTCCTATTTACTTTTTGTTTAGAAGTATGAAACACATCGTTTTCAGTTTTATCAAAATTTTTCTCATGTTCCAATGGTGGTACCGATTCTTCTTGTTGAATAACATAAACTGGAAAACGTAGACTAAAATACGAACTTATTTTTATAAAAACAAAAAACAAAATTTTTATTCAAACTGTTGTTGTGCTGAATGTACAACCAAATGTAAATGTCGTAAATATGATGTACTAAAAACATATAGTACTAATTCAACAAAGCTTTATATATTCAACTTACGTTCTTTCTCTAAACATGTTTATCAATATTGAAATGAAATATAGGAGCAAAAAAAACCCGTTTCATTTCATTAATATGCAACATAATTGTCAGACATAAAAACATTTCATAAAAAGTTTTTGACTTTTAATGACATCTATGGAATGTATTTGTGTGATTGGATAGATGAATTATTCTGTCTATTTTCTACCATCGGAGTTAAATTAGTTCTGGAATGATATATATGACAGGGAATATAGATAGAGGATAAATCTGCCCGATATCGAGGTATAATCATTCTCTTTTGCTTTGTTATTCTTCGTTCTCTATAGACTGATATTAATCGAAATTTATTCGACTTCTTGTTGTTTTTTTTTCTTCTTCTTCTTCATTTAGAAAATATTATTCATTTAACGAATAGAATTATGTCGTAGTTATTCTTTTAAAAATAAAAAATTTTTATTATTTATTTTTTTAAAAAAACATAAATAAAATCTATTCATGTTAAATCAAGAACAAATTCATCGATATTTTAATCATTTAAGTGGAGCAAAACGTATTGAATTTTTATATGGTTTATTACATTTATGTCAACCATTAGAATTACGTTATTTGGGTACTTGTTTAGAAGAAATAGCACGTAAAGATTATGAATATTTATATCATGCTGAACAAAAAACAAATCATTTACCAACACAAACAGCAACATTAATAAATAATAATGAATCAACTAATCAACAACAACAACAACAATCTAATATTGAATCAGATGAAAAATTAGATTTAACTGATCAATTTACACGTGCACATGCTATTGTTGATATTGGTAATTAATTAAAATGAAGAAGAAAAAAATTTATATTTAATCTATATCTTGTTATTTTTCTTAGCTCTTCTTTGGGCAAAAAATCGACCATGTGCATTACGTTTATTTCGTAATTTAAAAGCTAGTGAAAGTGTTAAGTTAGTTGATATGTTACTTGAACGTGATGATCTAGATGAAAGAACAATGGATGAAATATTAATTATATTTTGTTTAGCTGCTAATCATCCAGCATTTAGTTTTGATATGCGTACACAAATATCTCAAACACTTAAAGAATTAGAAAAACGACAACGTAAAATGAAATTATTACAAACAGTACATAATAATAATACTAATGAGGATGATACAATTGATACACTTGATGATACAAATTGTTTACGTCAACATATGCCACCATTAAATTCAAGTACATTAAGTGTACATGCATCACGTAAGAAAACAAAACGTTTTTTTTATGGATTTAGAAAAGACAAATAAATAATGTTAAATTTATTATTTTTAGCTTTATTAACACGTTTAGCTGTTGTTAATTATGATACAGAAGCAACTCCAATGAGAGTTTTAATTAAAGCTGATTGGTCTGATAATAATTCTACATTAACATGGAAAACTCCGAATGATATCCGTTCATTTCATTTACAAGTATGTTTTTTCTTCTTCCTCTTCTTCTGAGGAAATAATAAATCTTAATGATGTAAAAAGAAAACAGGAAAGAAAGCACTTATAGTATTTCATAGTTGATTTGATTTATAGATAAATGAATATCGAACGATAGAATGTAAGGTAGAGAGAAAGACGAATTTCTTATACTTTCTTTTAATATTTATTGGTAATGAAGACTGATTTTTGAGAATTATTTTAGTTATCAAATATTGTTTATCATGATGATGTACGATTAGAACGTTTAATGAATATTTCTGGTTATTTACGTGATATTGGTTCTCCAACTGAACCTGATATTGAATTAATGAAAAAAAATATTGGAATATATATGGCGTAAGTTATTGAATATAATTTTTTTGCAAATATTTAATATGAAAAAAAACTAAATAAAATTTTTCTTATTAGACATCTTGTCTATTTTTCGTCATATATTTCTACTATATCAACATTAGCAAAATTTTTCAATTCATCTCTTAAACTTGTTGATTCCAAACAACGATTATTTAACTCAAGTAATGGTTTTGATGAATCATTATCATCATCATCATCTTTTTCCAATGGAATGACTCCACTTCGTAATTAATTTTTATTAATTTGGTTTTTGTTCTTCTCATAACAAAATTGTTCTTCTATATTTAAGAATGTGAATTACCTGTACAACAGCCAACTGAATCTGAGAATAAAACACTTTGTTCACCTAAATTATCATTAAGTAATAATAAAAGTAAACAACAGACTGATGTAGCTAAACAAGCACGTTCAATAATTCCTACACATAATGGTACACAAACAGGATTAGAAGTTCGTTGTGAAGAAACTCAAACTGATCGAATGCCTGGACCCGGTTTTATACTTGCTGAACATCAAGATTATCTTCGAAGATATTCAATGGATGAAGTAAATTATATAATTCAATGTATTTATTTCATTGTCTATCTATTAAATTCTAATTTTAGTTAGCAAAATTAACACCAGCAGATCTTGTTGCTGATGGACTTGATGCAAGTACAGCACAATTACTTTGTGATGCTTTAGATGATTTAAAGTAAATAAATTTAAATACATGTATTAGATATTTTTTTATTTCTTTATTTTAATTTAGACCAATGAGTGTCCATTTAAATAGCAATAATAAAAATTCTCCAACATCATGTACTTTTGTTCAAATGCCTACAACAACATTAACATCACTATCACCACCACCACCACTACCTCTACCAGTATCTTTACCACCTTTGCTAGATGCAGCTTTAATGACTGTTGTTCAACAACAACAGCAACCATCACGTACGCTATCACTTTCAAGTTCAGATCGAAATCAATTTGATTCTATTTTTATTAATTTAGCCGGTGTTCATCCATCTCTATCATCAAGTCCTAGTCCAAAATTGCCTAAACCCGGTGTACCCACTGGTGCACCAACAGGAGGAACAAATAATATTCCTCCACCTCCGTTACCGTTACCACCACCTTCAACATCAAATTGTCCATCACAAACTCAACATCATGTACCTTTATTAACTGCACATTCGTTTTTATATAATCCAGCTGAACCATATATATTTCCAATCGCTATTCCGCCTGGTTTTCCATCAACAACACCTGATTTTATGCGATTATTTACTCCAAATATGGCAGCCATACCATCTAATCCATCTAATTCAACAGGTGCTAATTTTGTACAAACATCAAATGTTTCACAAGGATCTATATCTAATTCACGTTCAACAACACAATCCAATGGTACTAATACACCACCCGAACAAAATGGACAAAATCATCGTCCATCTCCACCACCACAATCAACATCTCGTCAACAACATCAACATCAACAACAACAACAGCAACAACAACAACATCATCATCAACAGCAACAGTCACATCATCGTCATAGACAATATTATCCATCTGATCCGATGCAATTTCAACAACAACAGCAACAAAATGGATTCCATCCGCAACAACAACGGCAACCTCAAACATCTTATTCTCAACAACAACAGCAACAGCAACAACAACATATAAAAACAAAAGCATGTTATACTTGTGGTGATCTTGGACATTTAGCATTTGCTTGTCCTGAACAGTATTCATCTGATTCAACTTATTCGCATAATAATAGAGGTAAAAACTAAAACCGAATAGAAATAATCTTATTTGAAAAATTTTTTTTTTTCAGAAGGCTATAAACTTGATTATCGACCACGACAAGGTACACCAACAAATCTTCATCAACAACAAAGGCAAATGCGTTCAAATTCGAATTCAAAAACAAAAGTTCGCGATAATAGTTAAACATTTTCATTTCATTTTCATTTTCTTTCTTTACATTTTTTTCTTCTCTCTCGTTTATACTCATCAAAACAATACTACATATCACGACTCTTTTTTTTGCTACTATCCTTGTCTGCCTTCACTTTTCTTTATTTTTTTTTCGTATGATACATTTCTCAGTTTTCTCTTTTTCTTTTTTTGTCTTTCGCCTTTTTCGTTTCGTTGCTGTAACAGCGACACGCGCTTTTTTTTACGACATGCATTCAACTCGTCCCAACTTCTTTAATATACATATATATATATATATATTTGCAACTATTCTTCATATTAAAAAAACAAAGAATGACGCTATTCCCGAATGGGTAAACACAATTATGTAGAATACTCATCATTTGTCTTATTTTATATTTTATTAATATAACATGACAGTTGAGAATATCTAGATGAATTTCAATCGAATTTAATTAAAACGAGATTTCATTTTTCTACCATCAATTATATATTTCATCACAAAAAAAAATAATAAATTAACCTAGATAATTATTATTATCTACTCAATTGTTTTTCGTTTCACACACTCACACACATATATATATTACTACAATAATAAACAGAGGGAGAGAAGAATGGAAGTAAAGAAAAAAGAATTCAGGAGATGAATAATACAAATAAAACATTGAGACAATCGAACACGAAACACACATCAACAAAAAATAAGAATTCATTTTTTTATGTATAAGACATGGCTATTGCAATTTTTGTATAAAAAAGAAACTATGTACAAAACGACAAGAGATTGATACTAAGAAAAGAAAAGCAAAATTTTATTTATTTTTTATTCAAGATCTGAATCAGCTGATGATGATTCATCATGAATTGATCGTTGCCATGTTTTAAGACGTTGCTCAAGTATTGTTTGCCATGCATATTGTAAACATTGACTTGGATAACGAATTTTATATGGCATATTCGGTTTATTTGAAAGAAATATCAATGCATCTTGTCCTAGAAAAAAAGAAATGATATATATATATATTTAATAATAGAAAAATGACTACATACGTTCATCACTTGATCGAAAATCGACAATATCATTTAAATAAATTGCATTACAAACTAAGGTCAATCGTGTATCAATTGCATTTCGTTGTGTAAATAAAAGCATGTCATTTAATAGAACAGTCCATGTCTCAATATAATTTTTATTCTCATTTTGTAATAGAAGTACACCAGAAAAAATAACATGTCGATTTCGACCCGTAAGTACAACAGACTAAATAAAATAAAAATAAGCAAAATTTAATATATGTATATAAATCTTACTTGAATATTTTTTGTAAATTGAAGACGATTTTGTAATTCAATAATATCACTATCTTCTGTATTATTCATTAATGATGATGTTCCACTGACACTGTTCAATGACATTGTTGTTGTACAATGATTTTGACTTGTCGATGTTGATGTTGATGATGATGATGATGTTGATGACATATGTAATGAACATTGACGTAATTCTTTAAGAACATGTAGAAGATAATTTGAATCACTAGCATTTTCACATGTACAACATAATATATCTAATTGATTCGCAAGATTATCGATATGATTTAAAGGTATTTGTAAGAACTGTTCAATAGAAAGATTTGTATTATTTCCTTGTATAAATCTTTGAAAACTAGCACATTTTTTTAGTTGTTTTAATTGTAAACATGCATCTGAATAACCCGATTTATACCGTGTAAATGCTTCACATATTAATTGAATTTTCTCATGAAATATTTTACCAATACAACCAATAATAATACTTTCTGTTAAAGTTTGTAAACGACTTAATTGATAACGTGATATAGCTAAGATTTTTTCAATATTTTGAAATAATTTCGCATGTTCATTTGATGAAATTAAATAATGTTTCAATGGACGAGAATATAATTGAACACCAAGTTCAATTTGATGTATAAAATCTTTTTCAATATTAATTAAATGTAAAACATCACGTTCGTAAGCTTCGGATATAATTTTTAATCGATTATCTTGATCACCATCAGAATAAGGATTACTTTCTGATCCAACACCTGATTCACTTCCATCACTTTGTGATTCAGATAGTTTTCGATTAATTGGTGACATAAGTAATGATTGAGAATAATTTGTTTTGTATGGTTTCTCAGGTAATACATTTGTACATAAATTTCGTTTTAATGGTTCATGTTGATCAACAGAATTTAAAACAATTTTATTTGTTGTTGTCGAGGAATTAAAACGACGATATAATTGAAGAGTTATGGGTAATGGTAAACTTCTATATTTATATTAACAAAATATGATATACATCTATATATATATAATTATTTTACAAACCTTAATAATTTTTTAACAGCTTTAGCTTGTGTTCTTGATACATTTATATCATTTATTTTGAGAAGTATATCACCTATCATTGGTCGTGTACATGAAGAACCAATAGCTGATTTAACTTCACTTATTGTACATGGAAATCCCGATGAAAAATGAATTTCATCCCGATCATAGATATCAACCTAAAATAAAAATAAAATTTTTATTGAAATTGCCTGAAGATCAATGTTATTATTGGTATGCAAATTGAGCAATATCAATTCTTATTTTTTTCTTCTTCATGATTAACTTTGAAATATGCTCATATGTGTATATATATATATATATATCTTATCTATCGTAATGATCAAATATGCATTAAAATATATATTTTATCTGATGAATATGATTTGTCTTTTTTAGTAAACTTACATTTAATAAAAATCCATTCGATTGATTATTCGAATTTTCTTTTATTGTTGTTTTCTTATTTTGTGATGATGTATTTTCTATATTTAATGCCATACGTTTATGTCTTCCAATTGATTCTGGTAATAAACAATACCATTTCGATTTCGATGAATTCTAAAAAATAACAAATCAATCATTTTACACCTTATATTATTTTAATAGAATATATCACATTGAGTGAAAGAAAAAGCCAAAAAATCAATTTTTCACACTTTAATTTAATCGATTTTCTTACCTTTGTACAACTAGTTGTTTTAAGAAGAGTCTTCATATTAAATGACATACATCCGATTAAGTCACTTCTAAATTATAAAAATGAATGAATAAATATATATATATATATTTATATAATGTATATATCTTTTTTTCTCCTCCTGTTCTCTCTTTCGTTTCTTATTCGATATCGTCAGATTAACATATGTGTTGTTAAGGGAGAATAGATAGTGAATCTTCTTTACACGTAGAATACAAAAACAAAATGAAGACGATTCGATTATTGTTTTCACACGAAAAAAAAATCTAACAAAACTTGTCATAATAATGTTCGTTTGAAGATAGTGTTTGAGAGAAAACATTTCTACTAGATATATACATATATCATCTTTTTCACACAAACTTACTTTTTATTTGATATCGATTGATTATAAACAGAGATTGTCAAACGTTTCGATGTTGTTGTTGATAAATTTGTTTTATTTAAAGGTCTTTAAAATAAGAAAAAAAATAAAAACAATATATCTCATTTGATTGATTATCTTACATATGAAATTTTTCATCATAGACAGGCGAATTAGTTCCATGAATAATTTTTGAACATTGCTCGAATTGATTAGGATATGTAACCTAAAAAAGATAATTGTTTAAATAAGATTTTTTTTTGAAACAAATCTTTTACTTTAACAAATGTATTGATTTTATCAGAATCTTGAATTGATAATTGTCGAGCTCGTAATACTAAAAAATGATAGAAAACAGAAATAGATAGACAGAAGAAAAAATGAGCCATGTGTTTTTACCGTGTAATATTAGTATTAAATTATCGATTTGATCATCATTTGAGATTGAATATGCAATACATAACGAACCTGGAACAAATAAATAAATGAACGTTATTTTTTTCCATGAAGAAAGTGATAATTACCTCGTTTTGGTGGTTGCTGTTGTTGTTCAAGAGGTTTTTTTAATGAAGATGAAGGATTTTCTTTAAAGGATTGTTGATCAATAATTGTTGTTTTTGATGGAGATAATATTGTACAAGGTACGAAATATTTCGTTTTTTTTACACAATCAACAAAATGATTTGTTAATGAACGTTTATTCGATGTAGTTGATGTTAATAGTAAACCTTCATAACTATGACCATCATCATTATTATTCATGATGATTGAAGAAAAGTATAATTTTTATCTGAAATATCAAATATGAGAATAGAATGAGCGGAAATGAGTATATATATATAAGGGTATATTTCTCTTGAACAGAAAAATAAACAAACTTTTTTTTTCTTTCTAACTAAACATTATTATAACTATCCTTCTCTTTATATATATATTTCTATAGTTTAACCTCCCCCCTTTCTTTCTTTTCTAATTATCAGTCTGTCTGTCTGTCCAGATATTAGCAGAGACATGTAAAAATACAGCTCCCCTGCTAATCACCATAACAGACAGTCTGATTGACTTCTAATATACAAGCATAACGATTGACAAATGTGGTCAACGGACACCGGTAGTGTTCGACTAAGATTAATGGGCGGAGAGTGAAAGAAGGATTAGAATGACACAATTATATCATTCATTTTCGATCTTCTTTTTTTTCTCTCTCTCCTAAAAATGTATTTTAGATTGATGAAGAGAAAAAGAACTTACGCTTTTTTGAATTAACAGAATCATGAAAGCATATGTTCAAATGAATATTTTGGGTTGCTTTTTTTTTAAAAAAACAATTCATGATATACTTCTCTCACGCTAGATTCTTTTTAACTGATGAACTTCAAATGATAAGATGCACACGTTGATTTTGAACTCATTTTTGGACGCATGCCATCGATCTATCATCGCATGTGTATAAGTATTTGACAATGATATGTCATTCGAATTTTTGGACATTATATTATTTCAATAGATAAACAAAAATAAATGTGTTCACACATAAAAGTATCTTTTTGATTATCAAATATATGAAAAAAAAAGTGTTTTCGATAGCTCAATAATTGACTATAAAATATATCTATGTTTATATGTTAAATGATCTTTTAGTCATTTTCTGATACTATTTTGCATCTGCTATGTCCTTCTCTCGCGTTCTCTCTATATATATATTTCGTTTCACTAATCCTAGCAATACTTAATTTCAAATGATGTACTTCAGATAATCTATTCTAATAAAATTTCTAATTAAAAAAAATCTATTTTTTTCTCTAAGAAATTTTTAATAATTATATTAATAATAAAATAAAACTGTAAGAAAAATAAAACATTCGCAAAATTTCATAGTCGATTAGGATTAGGATGATTATGTCATTAATATAAGTATAGAATCAAAAAACTAACCGATTATCCTTGACGGTTAGTTCAATCGTTTACTTACTTGAATTTAATGCAAGTGAGCGTTCATATTTTTTGTTTTTTCTTCTTTCTCGTTCGTATGTGTATCTTTCTAACGATTTCTCGTTATGGATCATTATTTAAATGGGAAATGACAAATCTCCGGAACAAAAAATCAAACGAATTGATACTAGTCACCTGCCGTTCATCAACTTGTTGATGATAATGTCATATTTGTTTGTATATATAATATTCATCAATGATCCCGAACATGAAACAGTGAAAAACAGAAAAAAAGAACAAACCATGAGTTGATGATTCGCACTTATTCTCTTTTTTTTTTACAGTAGTATGTAAACAAATAATGAATAAGTAAATATTAAAGCGATCCAATTTCTAATAGTGTGAAAAAGACAAGCAAGCACTTACCTATTATATTAACCTTGTTCAAAACCAATTTTGTTATGATAAGCTGTTTTTTCTATTTAACAGTCAAGAAAAATAAGATGAAAAAGGAGAAAAGGACAAATGACGAGATTATTTCATCCAGGTTGAACAATCGAATATTTGTTCTCATGCTCTTTTTCTTTTTGTTAAAGGTGAGAATTTAATTGTCAATCAAACAGACCGACATCATGTTTTAAGGCGATATGATAGACAAAAAAACAGAAAAAATGAGCATACATAAAAATCATCCGTTATAGACAACGACACGCGTGAATACAAGATGAACACTTGACATGGAAAATTTGATTAAAATACATAGAGTCGGTTAGATTATGAGCAATGTGCCGACAATAAAAAAAAAGTTCATAGACATTCATTCATTGAATTCAAAAACATGATATATATTTATATCTAGAGAACAAACGACTACATTTCATGCTTGCTCAGTTAGCAAGTTAATGTTAATTTTAATTGATAAAACAAAAACAATGATTGTTCAAGTGAAACTTCAATGAAAAAGATAGTTCCACTATGTAAGCAAATGACAGGTGAATATTCCCAGGAAATGAAAAAAAGAAATATATCCATGTAACCACCATCACCATCAGTCAAAATGTCCTTTTTTTTCTTCAGTTATTTGATGTTTTATGTAATCTTATATAATGATAACTGCTGTGTTTTTAGCCGCTATTTAAAGAACATATCAAACAAATAACGAAACAAAAAAAATTAGTGTTGATGATGATGGTTCACAGAAAAATATATTTTGCGAGAAAAGAGAAAAATGATGACATAATGAGAAATTCCTATTTATGCGAAACTATTCACATAAACATTTCCGTTATTATTTCAAAACGGATATTTTGTTTTCTCTATCAATAGTATAGAAAGAAAGAAAGAAAGAAAAGATATATCATAAGTGTATGTATATAGTGAAAAAAACAATCTACTTGAGGTTGAGTATTAACAAGCAAATGTTGTTACAATATACCGGAAAATTGACATATTTGTGTCAAATATGTATATACATTCAAATGTATTTAATAGAATATTGAAGAATGAATTTTTAATTTAATAAGATTTTTTAAACTAGAAGTCATAAGAAGAAAAAAAAATACAGAGAAAGATAAGGCGTAGTCTTCCGCTCTTAGATCTAACACACTCGATGAAAGAAGTTAATCCAAATAAGAAATATGATGTAAATATTCACACTAACGACAGTGTTCATCTTACAACATCAAAAAATATTTCAACTTACCGTATATTTCCTCACACATTTAATTATTAACTTAAGGTGTAGATTAGAAATAGACTTATAGATATGAACCGAAACGGATCGAGAGTATACAATGGAAGTGAATTATACTTTTGTGTTGGAAACGATCGACAATTTTCACACTTTAACCAGCTTAATGCCATCAACTAGCACGCACTCTTCTTCTGTGATGTTATTCAATTGAAGAATCTATCTCTACCTTTCAATTATGTGCTCATTTATAAAGCGGGATAAACTCTAATGGTCGAGACAACAATCATCGATGATGCAACCACCTGTCGAGTGAATTGGTATTTTTTTTGAAGTTTTTGTCCTTCTCTAGTCTCTTGTCAATGTAACGAGTGGGCGTATGTTTCATTGAATAATCAAAACGCGTGTATATGGATAAAGAGAAAAAAAAACGGTTAAAACTATTACGACATGATCAGAAAAATCGAATGAAGATACAAATAACAAAAAAATTTAAATATTTATTACACATTAAATCAAATTGAGAATGAATTTTTTTCAAAAATTGCGATCATTCATTCATTATTTTTCTCTCTTATTCACTCTGTTGGCGTCTAATTTTTTAGTGCCCAACGGCTGTTCATTTTTATTCGATGAAATCTGCACCTCATCAGGCGTTGTGCATATCGACACCTGATCACCTAGATATACATATACACTCAAGAGAGAGAGAGAGCGAGAAAGAAAGGGTGGAGAAGCTTTATCATACACACTTATTGTTTTTGCCACACAAATTTTTCTTCATTCATTTATTCTTAATGAGTGCACACACGTGTATGTTGAAGAGGGAGAAAAGGATGCCCTACGGATGATCAAGCATACAATGTTCACCTACTGTGTGTATTTTACGTCATGAATATATAGGTATAACAATTGAGCAATCTTTAGAAACAAAAATGTAGACTAAGCAAATGAAAAAAAGAAATTCTTCTTCCTAAGAGAGTCAAGTGTTTAGCATAAATCTATTTCTACTTGTTATTCATTGATACTCGAAATAAAAACAAAAACAAGAAAGAATAACAACACTCAATCTTATAATGAGCATCGAATCGAATATAATTGAAGAACATTCTATACCTATCTACATCTATTTAGACAGATGTTTTCTTTTTAAAACTTTAGAATTTCATTGTTTTTTGTCTTATAAAGAGCAAAATATCATCTCATTAAGTATAGATTGAGATCTCAATCGTTTTTTTCCCTCTGTTGGGCTTATCTATGTCTATATTGACACCTTTCTTTTCTATTGAAACATATCGATCTCTACCTATAAAAGTGATAATTGTTCGTTTTTCATATCGTTGTCAATCGATATGATAAAAAAATTAAATGAACTAGTTCGATCGTTATATTCAATATTTTCCTAATGAGATACGCGTTTTTATTTCTATGAATAGAAAAAAAACAATAACTAAAATGGTATGTTAAGTATAAAAATAATTTTAAACGAAGAATTCAAAATTATAAACAAATATTCTATTATTATTATTTTAAAACTTACTTGTTTATATAGAAATCTTTTCATAGTATTACAATTTTAGAATGAATACACTTGAAACTTATACACTTCGCGCTCATTCAATGTTTAAACTATATTAAATAGAGTTATTCTTTTCGTTCAGCTTTTCCCTCTCCGCATGTTATTTCCTAAAACAAACACTCGCCTCTAACACAATTCTTTCTCTTTTTTTCGTCATCATTCTCGTCCGTTATGTTGCTTGTTTTATATGATCAAACAGACATTGAGAAATGTAACAAAAAGCGTGAAATGTTTCATTTGAAGATCTTCGAACTGATTAACAGTGTGCCGGCAAAGAGCAAAAAAATATGTATCTATCTAGAAACAAACTTTGTAATTGATACCATATGTTTGTATCTATGCGATTGCCTAAGAAATGAAAACGCAATTCTTTTCTCTACATACATTTGATTCCAATCAAAAGAATAAAGAAAAAAAATATGTCAAGGAGTATACAAACATTTTAACGCTCTCTCACCCATCATATTACATGATGACCGGTGAGCATCAAAGTATTGCCGGTAAGAGCGATAAACGGTCTATGTCCTGGAATGACTAACATAAGAATTATTACACCCTACT